ATACCATTAGCATGTCGCTCCTGGAAACAGGTCCTCTCAAGGTGCTATGTTTGCTGGGCCCTCAGTTATTCACGATCCATTTCGTGAAACAGCCAAATTGGGGGGCGTGTCACATATGTGACATCCATCACACTCGCACCGAAATATTGCCTCCCCTCTATGTGTTCGATATAAAATCAGTTATAGATGACAGGTAAACGTTTAAAGATATTTAAAGTGTCCAGAATACCTCAGAACCGCTATATGGATCGAAGGGATATCATATAGTGAAGATTATATCATCCTTCCTATACTCTGCAAACAAGACTCAGTCCAAGCGTAAGGGGTTAGCTTACACACCGGAGGGACTCTGACGACATATATTAACATCTCCTCTCACTCAAACTGACGCTATATGGTAGGCTTCTCATTATACCAAGCCATAAAGTAGACCTAGCCATTTGGTGAATCCAAGTTATTTTTTGATCATCAGAATTCCAGGTTTCTTGCCAGAGACGTGTTAAATTTACTGAAGGTGCCACCTATGTGTCTGAAAGTGCAATCCTTTGTGTTTTAGGCAAGTATGAGACGCGTCGAGGTCGAGGTGATGAGTGTGACACAGTGTGACAGAGCGAGAACCCCACCTCGCTCGGCTCAGATATCCACCACAACGTCACCTAAAATCGTAATAATATTTGGGGACATACAAATAAACAATATGAACAATTCATCCTAGGATACCTCATCGATGAACCTACTTTCTAGACCTACAGCAAACAGTCTTTCAAAATGCAACAGGAGGTGATCAATCTGTGAATTATGGGACGCCAACGCATTCAATCTCCCATCGAAGTAGACCCTGAAGACCTGTTGCATATCAGGAGGAACCTCCAATTTATAGCTAAGCATTTGAGGCAGTATTGGGGTTGGTATAAAATGATTTGCAAGCCCTCTGATCGGCGGACTCTGAAGCAAGCCCCTTCAGCGAAGGGCCGGCTCGCCGGGCCGGAGCGGCACAGGCTTGCTCCGAACCTACATGACTTCAATGTCACAATCTCTGCTTGTGGTGATTACAAGCGCGTCGATCAATGTCTCCGCCGTTCTTTCTACTGTCTAGGATCTCAGTCGTGCGTTGGTCGTGCGCCACCCGTGCCACGGGTTCTTCTCTGCCCCCCACGGAATCACTGGCTGAGGTGCAGAGACTCAGCGTGCTCCCAGAATCACACCCTGCACCTTTGAAGGCTCCCCAGTTCTCTGCACGTTTTCACTCGATTCTCTGTATGCCCGTCACCAGGTTGATGTGCGCTCGAAAAGTTTCGTTTATATGTCACGTCTCCTGACAGCTCATATTCAAGCTCCCTTCCTAGACCCTCCGCAACGGTTCAATACGCATCGGCCGCTCCTGAAATTTTGATTCGATGTCTACCCTGTGGACCACGCTCAGTCATGCACGATATTCCCAATACCTCGCATGGCCTGCAATTTTAATTCAACTTTCGGAGTTTCCGCCATGTCCACGTTTGGACGTACTATGGGTTTGTATTTTAATCCGATGTACTCATGCTCCCTTTCCATGACCCTCGCCACGCTTCTGAACATGTCCGCGACTATGTGCTCTTGAACTTTCCCACCCGCGCGCCCTCCCGCGACTCCCGGACACGCATTTCATTTTTGTCGAGCATCGTTACCCGCGTATGGTTACGCATTGTTTGCTTCTTCTCCTCGTACTCATTATGTTGCCAATTTCTGCTGTGCTCCGCCCACGGGCTACTGTTGCTATGATGTCCTAATTCGCAGCACCCGTTCGACGCGCCCGGGCCCGCGCGCCGTACGCGACGCTGACGTGTACACAGTGTGTGGTGCTGCTTGGACTTCCCGAGCGTGGGCATGTTCATCCATATCCAAGCTACTTTAAACTAATTGCTTAAACGAGCGCAATTGGTATATTGTTCCTAGCGTGCTCGGACTGCCGCTGCGCAACGAGTGTAGGGGCGATAACCGACGCGAGAATGTAAACATCCGGCGTCAGGATATCTTAGGATGTTATCCTATCTGATCCGATCCTACCTCAACCTGGATACGCTAGGATAGGATAGGATAAGATGTAGTCGTGTTCAAATTGTGTCTTCTGGGAGCATATCATGTAGTAATGAAGGTAAGATAGCAACCGACTTAACTAGACTAGGATCGAGGTTCCACCGGAGCCTAAGAACGGCTCGATGGCGGGCGGTCCGAACCTGCATCCCATACCGCTCTGCGAACATATATCATGCAGATTACGTCCGTTCAACTCGGTGAAACGGTGCAGTGGCGTGCAGCCGTGAAATCTAATGTCAAAAGAGTAAGACAACAAGTCTTAACTCTTACCAACACTAAACTCCAACAAACTAAACACTCCAACCGCCTGATCATTATTTAGTTCAGGGTGGTGGGTACTCATATCGACCCTTCAATTTCAATAGATACAACTAGTACTTCAGTTGCAGAGGACTCTCAAACGCAGTGGTTCAATTGTCTGATGGGACACGGGGCAGAGAAGCCGAGTTTGGATGAAGTTTCCAGTTCGCGCCAACCATTGACTGGACTCGTGCCGAGTTTGAATTTAATCAGTGACTGGACGAAGCCGAGTGTGGATTTATGGCGCTAGTGCGAAGCTAAACCAGTGACTCGACTATCTCAATTTGTGTAGGGGTTTCAAGCCTACGAGTGAGAGATGGGCGCCGAGGTTGGGCTTAATGTGCGAGACCCGAGTTAAGGTTACAAGTGATCACTCTTTTGACACGCCTTGCAAAGCTATAACAGAACGGGCTCTTGAAGAGTAGTTGGACTGTGCAGAGTGACCAGTCTTTGGCGCGCCTCCGAGTCACAACAAGAACTCTTGGTTAAGAGAGTCAAGTTAAGTTTTTACAAGTGATCAGTCTTTTGACACGCCCTGCAAACTGTAACGAGATGGTCTCTGAAGGGTGGGATGCCAAGTGTGGATGTAGCTGTTGCCTTAGCTAACCAGTGACTGGACTTGAGTCGAGTGTGGAGTGACCACGCCAACCAGTGACTGAACGTTGTCAAGTTTAAAGTAGCTGGCGCTACTCAGTGACTGGACGTAGTTGAGTGTGGAGTGACCGCGCCAACCAGTGACTGGACTGAGTCAAGTATGGATGTAACCTGTGCCTTGGCTAATCCAGTGACTGGACAATCCCTAGAGAAGCCGAGTGTAGTTGTGGCTTTACCACGCCAACCAGTGACTGAACCGGCACCGAGTTTGAAACTATGTTCAGTGACTGGACGACAACTGAGTGTGGATGTGGCGTGTTCGGCTTTAACCAGTGACTGGGCGAAACTCTGTGCTCAAAAGAGCTATGTGCCAACAACGGGGGTGATCTTTCACTGTCTATCTACTGATTTACATGCGGCTTTTATACTACTGACCTAAGCGAGATATACAAACGTTGAATGAATAATAACAAGGTATAAGCGAGCCCTGTGGACTCTATTTTTAGTGCGCCCTTTGCCTTGGCGCCGCTTAGACACCTCCTCCTAATGTCTTCTTTGTCATTCCTTATGAATTCTCGGTTATCCTGTCTCCTTAGCGAGCCGCAGTAAGCTTCCCAAGCCAATGAGAGTCCAGCTCTAGCTAATCCAACCCAAAAGGGTCTGTCTTTCATCGGCTAGCCTCGCTAAAACCCTCCTCTTCATAATCGTCTCCTGCTAATACCATCGGCTAACAGCCTCTCTAAGCGAGTGCCAAGCCTACTAGTAAACCTCCATTACTCAAGACATCCTTGACCTCATCGGGAGTTTTGGAGGGAAGTTGGCGCCAACATGTCGTACACTTCCTGGTGCCAACTTGTACAATTTTCCTCTTTGGGTTTTTCCTCCTTTTGGGAACCTCGCGCCAAGGTATGTCTTATTTCGTACCCTTCCTGGCGCCAACTTGTACATCCTTCCTCTACGGCTCTTCCTCCTTCAGGGACCTTGCGCCAAGGTATGTGTGTTATTTTTGGTGCCCAATCTTGGTTCAAGGGCTGGCGCCAACATGTCGTACACAGCCTGGCGCCAGCTTGTACCATCTATTCTTGGAACTCAAGAGTTGGCACCCGATTGCTTCAGTAACATTTCCTGGTGCCAACTCGGCTTATTTTCCTGTGTTCCTTTCATGATCTCCTGGCTTCAGTTCTGAACCTCGTGCCAATAGCTGGTCTTTCCTGTTCCTGCCAAAATCCCTTGATTGCCTAACATCCATACTGACACCGAGCTTGTAGCATTTGTTCAACACTCCGTGCTGGGTGAGTCCTATGGCTAGCTAGTGTGTTTTGAAGCCCAGGCCAGTATCCTAAGCCCCTGTGAAGAGTACCTCGGACGGCAACCTTGTCTTCCTTTGTTGGTTATGCTAGTTTGCAATGCTTCAAGCAGCTTAACACTCGGTTCCGGGATTGAACCAGTGCCCTCTAGTCTTACTGGAGTCAATGTACAGGCCATCCGCTTGTACTTATGCAAAAACGAAGATTTCAGGCGCGCAAGGATGCACACCTTATCATCAGGCCATTGTTCAGCGGGACGGTAAATTCTTCCTCTGCAGCCGGACATTACCATTATTTCCAAAACTCTGTGCGATGCCTCAATATCTTGACTGCCCTGCCGACCTGCCGCTGCTGAGGCTGGATGGAGGCGAGGTCCACAGACCCACCAGTATGTACTTCAAGTACGCTGGAAAAATACTCTTGACTATTGAAGTTGGAATAAGAGCCGCTCTGATGGCGGAGGGTCCGTGCCTGCATCTCATTCATTTGTCGGGTTTCAGTTAGTATCCGTTCCACATTGACCGGGATGACTAAGGTGTTTTTTCTTCTTTTCTTTTCTTTGTTTTTGCTACAAACTCTGGGCGCTCCCTCGATACCTCGACGGTTCGGTTTCAGCAGGCACCTTCCCCTCTCTTCTGCATGAGTCGAAGACCATGGACACTCTCGAATTAAACCCCGAGGGAAAAGGGCACATGTATCCCGGTTGAAATCCAGCCTAAGAACGGCTCGATGGCGGACGGTCCGCACCTGCATCCTGTGCAGGAAGATTTAGCCTTTAACTGCAGGAAAAGCCCGTTCGACTCGGGCTCGAGCCACTAGCATAGACATCTTGAGTCCACCCTTCTTCATTCACGCAGCTCTGCCCTACACAAATCGCCGAGTACGATGGTTTCTCAGCCTGTGAAACCAACCTGCGGAAAAATTGCAAATGCATTCAGGTTGCAAGCTAGCCTTGGAACGGTCCGATGGCGGACTGTTCGCAGCTGTGCCCCTTGAACACCCACACCGCTGCGTGAAGTCTGCTGGCACACTAAACCAGCTGAAAAATAGCCTATAAATCCAGGCTGAAATCTAGCCTAACAATGGTTCGATACCGGATGGTCCCTCTCAGCACTCTAAGGCAGGCTACGCCCGTTCGACTCGGGCTCGAGCCATGGCCTTGATTGCTAACGGTTTTGTTTCGTGCCCAGAATCTCCAATATCCCTGCAAAAAGCTTATCTGCCTTCGGAAACATCTTTGTTGCCTACCGATGCCGCCCCTGAAGTACAGACCAATATTGGAGCAGTACTAAAAGGCGGTGAAGATTTCGGATGTACCCAAGTTGAAATCTAGCCCACGAACGGCTCGATAGTGGGTTCGGACCTGCATTTATTCCATGGGCCATCTCCGGCCATATGTCACGCAGGTTCCATTGTTTGGCACGCGAGTCATTTTTTCCTGAGTGCTTGGCACTTCTTGCACATTTTTTTTTCTTTGCCTTCCTCTGCCCCCACGCAATACCATCATTTTACCAAGATCGTACGCTGTCAGTTTCCAGACTGCAAGCTCTTATCCTGTCAACCTCCCGCTGCGGAGCCGAACTAAAACGCACTGAAAAAATGTCTATGTTTCCAGGCTCCAAACTAGCCTTGGAACGGCTCGATGGCGGACGGTCCGCACCTGAAACTAATTGCTCTTGGTCATATATCATGTAGGTTACGTCCTTTCGACTCGAGCTTGCCCCATGTGACGCTACCACAGTGGTTGCTTTTTGATGAATATTCCTGGCCCGTCTCTTTCCGAATCCGCGCGACGATCTTCTTTCTGATTTCGTTTGAGTACAGGCTTCTGTTTCTATATTTTGTATGCCGTGCGCAGCTGTAAGGCCTTCCCACTGAATCCAATTACTGAAGGAGATGCAGATGTATCCAGGGTCGCAAGCGGAGCTTGTATCGGCTCGATGGCGGACGGTCCGTATCTGCACCTTATGGCGGTGGCCAAGGAATCATGGAGGAGACACCTTTTCGACTCGGGCTCGAGCCATACACCGCTTGCACTTGCATGCTTTTTTCCTTCTTCCTTCGTTTTTTTCTAGCCAGTTCTCCCGGGCAATTTCTTTCCTCCAACTGCGGAGTCAACGTCGAACTCTACTGGTGCATATGTTAATCCAGTACTTGAATCTAACAATAGGAAGGAAATGAACTCGAGCGGGCCTTTGGGCTTTGGGCGGGCGGTGGAGATCATGCGTGGCGGAGGAGAGCTGGATTGACAGCCAGATTTTCGGGTGGGGCCATCATTTGGGCCATGATTTTGATCAATTTAGGCCCAAATTGAACGTGTCAGGGACCGCATGCCCACTTCCGCGGCACAGCCCCGCGACTCAGCCGACGGGCCCGCCGGCGAGGGAGGCGGCATCCGTGGTTCCGCAGCAGGGTGTAATCTGGCTTATTATAGGGCTGAGGGAACGACCTCTGCAGTTCCCATCCGACGTGTCTCCCATGTTTCCCTGCGAGGTTTTTTTTTGGTCATTTGTATCATAATCCGAGGTATTTACTCCGAGGTATTTTTTGTGTAAAATATTAACTTACAAGGCGGAGTAAATTGCCAAACGGCGATAAGTAGCGCAGTACGCAATCCCGGCGTCATTTCTGCCAACATCAACGGTGTCTTCGAAATTGTATTGGGTAAGAATATCCCCGTCTCAATACCCCCATGTCCACGACCCCAGCAGACCCCAGCACTTAAAAGATGGCCATGTATCCAGGTTCAAACTAACCTGAGAATGGCTCGATGGCGGGGGTCCGCACCTGCAACTCATATGTCGGGACTATATGTCACGCAGGATGCGTCCGTTCGACTCGGGCTCGACCTATTATCCACCTTCGTCATCTCATTTTGCTCGACCAAAACCCTCGTCGCAGCAGCGCTGGCATACCCGATATTTTATTCTCAACTCCCCCCAACTCCCCGCGAGCTGCATCTTGTTTCCGTCTCAGGCTATGGTGATCATTTGAACATGAGCCCGAGAAAACCTCGCCGGAAAATGTACACATATACATAATGTATTAGGCCTGAGTTCAGGTTGCAGCGGCAGGTTTTTTTTCCCTTTCCGAGACTGAAACGGAGAGCGAAGTCAGTGTGGATATTATGAGGGCACTCACTATATAAATGCCCAGATATTGAGGGTGCAAACTAAGTCAAGGACGGCTCGATGGCGGACGGTCCGCACCTGCATCCATTCATATCTTCGTCTCGCCATGTATTGCCGAAGCTGCCTGTTCGACTCGGGCTCGAGCCATACATAGTTCATGACGGTCAACCGTGTTTGCTCAACTCTCTGCTGACTGACAGGGTCGGGATTAGTAGCAAATTTGCTGGCACTGGGTTCAAATTCGGGTATGTATTCCGGTTTCGAAGTAGCCTGTGAACGGCTGGATGGCGGATGGTCCACACCTGCAACTCATACATCCTCAGGTTTAGCATCTAAGTGATGCAGGTATCGCCCGTTCGACTCGGGCTCGAGCCATCCGAAATCCTTCTCAAGGCATATTTTAGCAGCTTGCGCTTTACTCAAGTTTTCCTCTATTCCCCTCGTATGTATGCCCTTTTCTCCCGCCTGGGGAGATTTACTGTTCTGGTTAGAGAGCTGAGTCAGGGTGGATGTCATGATAGCACTCACCAAATAAATGCACGTATATTCAGGTTCCATTCTAAGATTGTATCGGCTCGATGGCGGACGGTCCGCAGATGCAACACCTATCACTGGACAGATGAGGTATTGGGTGGGTACCCCTTCGACCCGGGTTCAAGCCATTCTGCTAGCCATTCTGCTGTTCAAAGGCCAGTTTTCTTTTCCTTTTTCTTGTTTCAGCAGGCCCCCTACGCGGGCTCCTCCCTGAACAATCACCCTTGCCTATAGCTACTTCCCACCCCGGCGATGCACACGCCTGTGCCTAGACAGCCCGGGAAGAGGAGAGTCTCATTCTTGAACCACAGCACTGATAAGTGCACATTCATCCAAGTTGCGAGTGCAGATTGTGGCCGCTCGATTGCATTCGGTAGCGCTGAAGGCTCAAGCATACATGCATGCAGGCGCCACCCGTTCGACTCGGGCTCGAGCTATGGTAGAATTCCCTGTAGGATTCTTTTTTTTCTGCGCTTCTGCCCGTACCTGGGACTGTCACAGTTTTCACTGATTCTTTGTGGACACCTAGGATTGAGCCCGATCCGCGACCGGTGGAGAAAATCGACCTACATCCAGGTTGCAAGTGCAGGTTGTATCGGCTCGATGGCGGACGGTCCGCGCCTGTCTCATGTGCTGGGATGTGAAATGTACTGCAGGAACGCCCGTTCGACTCGGGCTCGAGCCATAAAGGTGGGCTGATCTACTTTTTTTTAACCGCTCGCTCTTGACTTAAGGTTCCCTTTGGAATCCCCCATCCCATAATTGCCTTGTGTGGTCCCACCTGGGCCTGGGGAGGTGTGCTGTACGATTCAGAAATGCGGGCTGCAGAATGGGACCTTTTCAGCTCGCACGAAAAGACAACAGTCTTCAAGTACAAGTCGTTGAAAATGTAGAGGGATACTCAGGTTCCAAACCAAGCTTGTATCGGCTCGATAGCGGACGGTCCGCACCAGCAATTCGTGCAATCGCACCCCCATGCCAATGCGGGAGAGGCCAGTTCGACTCGGGCTCGAGCCATTTGCAGCTTATGCACTTCTTTTGGGTTAAACTTCTCCAACGCGCGGTGCAAATTCGTGCATTTCACATCCCCACGCTGCCCGTATATCTTCTGGTGGATTTACTGGTCCAAGCGCACATCAGCCTCAGAAATCGAGTCCTAGTGACTAAGAGGGCTTATCCTGCGGGAGCATGAAAAAGGCACATATATATTCAGGGTTGAGCTACAGCGTGTACCAGCTCGTCGGCGGACGGTCCGCACCTGTATTCCGTTTATCGAGTACGAAATGCCGGCAGGGTGTGTTCCTGTAGGGACCAGCGGCATAAAGAGGCAAGTATAATCCTCGCTGCACTTGCGGGATGATTGCACGTATAAGTATCAAGGGTTTACAGCTCTTTGCAGAACTTACTGGGGGCACAAGCCAACACACATGTGCTGGAGGCACGTGTTCCACATGTCCAGTAGATCTCCGGGGTCTCTCTAGTTGCAGGCATCCATCGATTAAATCTCCTCTCTCACTCTCTCACTGGGCCAGAATTGCTGCCTGACTGAGAAAGTGAAGTGAAGTGGATCTCATGATGGCATGGATGAGCACAAAATAAATGCACAGATATTCAGGTTCGAAGTGCAGGTAGTATCGGCTCGATGGCGGACGGTCCGCCCCTCCATCCCCTCGCATTTCTGTGGGAGTCGTCCGTTCAATTCGGGCTCGAGCCATGTTACTGGCATTGGTGGTTCCTTTTTTGGTGAATATTCCTGGCCCGCCTCTTCCGGAATCCGCGCGACGATCTTCTTTCTATTTTCTTTGGAGGAAGAACTGGCTCGGGTCCTGGATATATCCTACCTTCCTGGATTTTGTACGCCGTGCAGCCGTGACGGCTCTATCCAAGGGCCAACCCAGGCCAATAACGGCTCGATGGCGGAGGGTCCGCACCTGCACGTATTGTTTCTGACTCCTCAGTCTCATGCAGGAGACACCCGTTTGACTCGGGCTCGAGCCATATGTTCTGTGCTGATCCATTTTTTTAGCCACACTCAGCATCTTCCCATCCCAGAGCGAAAATGCACATGTAGCAAGGGTGCGTATCAAGCTTGTACCAGCTCGATAGCGGGCGGTCCGCCCCCGCATCGTCTGTAGTTTGAGTTTCGTACTCCAAGCGATGCAGGAGAGCCTCGTTCGACTCGGTGAGAGAGTAGAGTCGAAGCGGATTTCATGATGGCACTCGTGACCACCCAATAAACGCGCACATATATTCAGGTTTGGATTGCAATCTGTAGCGGCTCGATGGCTAAGGGTCTGCACCTGCAATCCCTTGTACATGGTCAGATATTTACAGCTAGTTGCGGAACTTAGGGCGCGGCCCATTTTTTTTATTTTTATAGATGTTTCGGATATTTCAGCTCTACTGAGCTCAGTTCTTCACCGATTCCCTTGAAACTATGATCAATAGATTTGCCTTGCGATTCCGGAGGGAGTGACGTTCGAAAATACGTTAGAAGCGTGGGAATTGCCTTTTTCGGCAAATTGTGAGGCATCTTCTCCTATCAGCTCTAGCATTAAATATACTGATCCGATTGACTTAGCTTTTGGATATATCATACTTATATGCGTTACCTAGGATGTATCGTGCCCAGATAAGGATTAAAATGTTTTGTTCACATCTGGCATGGGACTTAAAACTGATTGAAATTGAATACAGTAAGGCTTTTGAATAATGAGGTATTTTGACGATCTGGGCACGACAAATCCTAGGTAATGCATATAGGTATGATATATCCAAAAACTAAGTCAATCGGATCAGTATATTTAATGCTAGAGCTGATAGGAGAAGATGCCTCACAATTTGCCGAAAAAGGCAATTCCCACGCTTCTAACGTATTTTCGAACGTCACTCCCTCCGGAATCGCAAGGCAAATCTATTGATCATAGTTTCAAGGGAATCGGTGAAGAACTGAGCTCAGTAGAGCTGAAATATCCGAAACATCTATAAAAATAAAAAAAATGGGCCGCGCCCTAAGTTCCGGACGATCTCGGCCGACGGTGGTGTGCCTATCTTGGCCGACCTTGGCCGATCCGAGTCCAGGTTGGTGGCGGGTGAAATGAGGAACCATGCCGGGTCTTGAATTTCCTAGCTAGGCTCATCGGCCCACATCATTCTATGTGTGCCTATTCCTGCTGGAACACCTAGACCAACCCCTCGGCAGGGCTCGGCAGGGCTCGGTGCACTGGTTGGCCTACACATCTGCCTATTGGGATCCAGCAGACCTGTGCCTGCGGGGGGGGGGGGGGGGGTCTGAACGCAGTGAGGGGTGGTGCATCCCTTCTTTTCTTTATCGATGCTCTAATTCATTGTCGCTGACACCTAGGACTTAGCCCGATCCGCGAGCTCGACGGACTCGCTGAAAAAATCCACATACATCCAGGTTGCAAGCTAGCGTTGGAACGGCTCGATAGCGAAAGTTCCGCGTCTGCAATTTATAGCGGGTTGTCGCGAGATTTGATGCGGGATTCGCCCGTTCGACTCGGGCTCTAGCCATAGATCGTGATCAAACCCCTTTTCCCCCTCCTGCCGAGCTGGCATCTCTCTCCCAAACTCACCGGCGCGAGGTTGAATGCGCATATGTATTTAGGTGAAAATGGGATTATATCGGCTCGATGGCGGAGGGTCCGCGCCAGCACGCATTACATCAGACTCTCCAGCTTCATGCAGGAGACACCCGTTCGACTCGGGCTCGAGCTATAGTCGATGGAGTCAGGGTTGTTTTTTCGTTCGCCGACGCGAGCCATCACAATGGTGCGCAAATTCGACTTTATCTTTCATACTGACATCGCCGTGGATCGTCTGTCCCCCCTGATCAATTCTTCGCGTATCTGACGGAGGGTGGGAGGGAGGTCTGCTGCTTGAATCACCGCACTTGGAAAAGTATTCAGGCTCAAAGTCCAAGTAAGACCTACTGGCACTCGCAAAATAAATGCGCACGATACTATTTGGGTTCACAAGAAGGGTAGTATCGGCTAGACAGCGGATGGTCCGCACCTGCACTCTTTAGCCGGGTGGTACTAGTCTGTGCAGACATCGCCCGTTCAACTCGGGCTCGAGCCATGGGGTATAGGGCGATCATAGTTTTTAGCCGCTCGCTCTTGACTTGAGGTGCCCTCTAGCATCGACCATGCCTCTCTCTAGTCTCTCGTAGACAGACGCTTCAACAAAAATGAGCTCGTGCCTCGCTTTGTTGAAGTCTGTTGGTTATCAGGGGGGTCCGATCGGACTTCCAGCTTATTACCAATCTTTTGGCGGGCGAATCACAGTGATTACCTATCTTTTATCAATCATTTGGCAAATACTCATAAAGTGACCTTCAAACTTTTGAATAGCATAACATCTCGGCCAATTTGAAACATTCTGAAGAGACAGAACTCTTCCGAGCAAGGTAAAGTATGACTTTGCATCTTTGCCAGTTGTAAATACATGATTCCCAGCGCTGCAGAGTTGATTGGTAATAAGCGGAAACCCCGATCGGACCCCCTTTGTAACAACAGGACTAGCCTCTCTCAGTGAGATGTACTACCCGGCGTTCCATTCTCGAGAGGCACACTGAACAAAATTGTACACATATAGAGGTTTAAGCCAGGATATTATCAGCTCGATGGCGGACGGTCTGCACCTATATCTGCTACAGGCCGCACAGTTCTACTCGCTTGTGCCGTAGGGGACGCCCGTTCGACCCGGGCTCGAGCCATGACACGAAGGGCGCGATTTTTTATTTCGCAGAAATTAGCGGTCAGAATCGTACTCAAATTCTTTCGCGTCTCGACGCGACATCGCCTCTCGTGAGCGGATCGGATGAGTCCGACCTCAATGAACAGCACCGAATAGATGGAGATTTTTTCAGGTCATAAACCAGCCTAAGAACCGCTCAATGGCGGATGGTCCGCATCTGCAAATCATATACCTGGGGTTCGACATCCGAGCGATGCAGGCGTCGCCCGTCCGACTCGGGATCGAGCCATTTCCGATGATGTAGAGCTTTTTGTTCGACCCTCTACTAACTTACCGTTATTGGGTTCAAATTGAGGCATGTATTCAGGTTCGAACTGTTGAAATGGGGCCTATCACGCGTCCTCCTCCCCATTTCTGTCTCGTTGCTACGGGCGCTGCGGACTCTCGATCACCCACTTATATAGCCGTCAACTCCGTATCTACGCGATATATTACTCCCCATTGCACCTGTACCCTGCACCGTCCGCGCGCTATTTATCCTCTGCTTGCACAACCTCTGGTGTGGCCCATACCTTCCAACACGAAATTTAGGTTGTATCGGCTCGAGGGCGGACGGTCCGTACCTGCATTCTGTATTGCACCTGGTGTCACATGTTGAATGCAGGAGACACCCGTTCGACTCGGGCTCGAGCTATGGTAGAATTCCCTGTAGGATTTTTTTCTGCGCTTCCGCCCGTACCTGGGACCGTCACAGTTTTCACAGATTCTTTGTGGACACCTAGGACTGAGCCCGATCCGCGACCGCGACGGACTCATGAAAAAACTCCACCTACATCCAGGTTGCAACTGCAGGTGTATTGGCTCGATGGCGGAGGGTCCGCCCCTGCAACACTTTGTCATCCAATATACTAGTAGTATTGCGGGAGGTGCCCGTTCGACTCGGGCTCGAGCTATTGAGAAATTCCTTGGATTTTCCTTTTGTATTTCTATTGTCGCCATCACATTTACCTTCCCTAGATGCCCAGGTTCGCCTCCCTCGCCCTAACCGTTTCTTCCTGCAGCCTCCTGTCCGAGAGTAGAGGCGAAATCCACTCTCGCTGCATTCAAAAGCGCGGAAAAATATGTATGTATTCAGGTTGGAATCTAGCCTAGCAGCAGCTCGATGGCTGGCGGTCCACACTTGGATACAATGATTTTTTGTTCAATTTCATATCAGAGAAGCCCGCTCGACTCGGACTCGAGCCATGCAACGGGGCTGTGGTGGTTTATTTTTGCGGTGATGGTCCCATCTCCTCTCAAATATGCACGATACTAGTACTCTTTCCACCTTTTTTTCTTTCTTTCTGAGGATGGGTTGTTGCTGGTTCATTTTGCAGGACACACCTGTAGCTCGAGCCGTGTACATGGCTTTGGTGAACATTAACTTGATGCTCTGTTCTAATTTCTTTTTCAAGAGGGGCTGCTGTAGGTGGATTTTCTACGCCATGCGGAAAGCAGATCACTCAAGGTGATGTACCTGTATCTAAGGTCGGAACCAGGCTAAGAACGGCTCGATGGCGGTCGGTTCGCACCTGCATCCAATTTCTCGGGTACCAAGTGCCGGCAAGAGACGCCCGTTGGACTCGAGCTCGAGCCCTCTGCTTGATCTCACGTTTTTCCTCTGCCATCTCGCATTACTATGAGTGTTGCCGCTGCAGAGGAATCGCTCATCCTACCCATCAAGCAAGTTAAAAAACCACTCATTTATTCAGGTTCCAAACTCGCCTAGGAACATCTCGATAGCGGAGGGTCCGCACCGACATCTCATTGATCCTCCCCTCGGAGTTCATGCAGGTTACGCCCGTTCGAGTCGGCGGCTCAACTCGGGCTCGAGCCTTGGCCGAGGCAACATTCTTTTATCGTTATTGAAGCAACTTCTGCCCCACCTCCCGCGAATTTGAATCAGACCTACACTCTTTCTCAGAACCTCCGATTCCTGTGATTAATATCGAAGTATGATGTAGTAGTTGTGCAGAGACTTCAAGCTTACAAAGAGAGAGAAGTAATTGGGTTTAGTTCATATTTAGAGAAAGATTCCTCCAGTCGGGCAGACACCTACGGATGTTGAGGCTACTATCGAAGTATAATGTATTCTGTGAGCCATAGCACTAATATTTAGTCTAATGTGCATGGCTCTAGCCATAGTAAATGCTTCCTAAAGCCACGACTCCAGCCATGCGATGGCTGGGTCCATGGATCAAGACTAATGGTACAGCAGGTTTTAAATAGCAAAATGAATACTACCAGCAAGGATTGAACCACTGACCAGCAAGAAACAGAGCAAATATCAGAAAGTGTACTATAACCATCTGAACTACAAGGCCTTTCTACTGCCTTTTCCCATCCCACTTAGGGTAAGGTGCCCTTACCCTAAGTGGGACTAGCTAGGCAAGCTGCCCTAGGTCTTCGAAATTGTATTGCCAAGCTTATTATGTGGTTTTGTTAATTTTCCTAACACTAACCAACCCTAACCCACCCTAACCAACTAACCATCAAAAGCTGACAAAACACCCTCAACAACCTTTTACAATATACCTTGGTCCTAAGCCCTAACAAACCCTAACCACTAACATGGCCCCTAAGGCGGGGCCTGCTGGAGTTAGAACATGCTTTTATGAATCAGTAGGGCACCATATACTCCACAAGATTCCCTTATCTTTTATTCCTCCTTAGCTCAGTTGGTTATCCTCTTGGGTTCTGTTTCTTTCTGTAATCAAAAGGTTTTGGGTTCAATCCCTGCCACTGCCTTTTATTAATTTTGCCTGGCCCCTTAGCCTCTCGCAATGGCCCTAGCCAACAGCTGGCTAGAGTCATGGCTTTAGATTCCCGCTACCTTTAGGTAAGGGTTTTAGGGCGCCCTATCAGTACGTCCTGCAGTAAATTCCGATTTTCGTCATCCGTTTTTGCGTAAGCACGGTCAAATGTATTGGGTTCGTAATTTTTCCTCCGTAAGCCTCCGTGATCTCGGCCGATTCAACGTGGCAGTTTGTCGCGTCTCTCATCTTCCTCCTGCTACCTTTTGCAATCTGCCCCTCTCAACTTCTTTTAACTCTGGACTGGAGAGCTCTGTCTTGTCTCTGGACTGGGTCTTAAGTGCTGGCATCCCTGCCTCCCATTCTATGGCCCATGGTCTCTTGTCACTGCCTTGCAAGGACGGCCCCCTTCGTTCCATGAATGTTCAGCTGTCCGTACAGGCTTCTCTCTCCTGTGTTCTGGTTCTGGCCCACAACTGGATGTTTTACTGCCGTAATGCCTTCCCCAATACTTGTTTTGTGCTCGCCTCTGGATCTGTCCATATACACCCCCTTCCACATATGTGCTCTCGCTCTCTGCCTTTTCTGCTCTCGTTCACCTAATATCCCCAGCCCCTTCCTCTCCCACTTCCGATCATTCAAGCGTGGACGTTGATCATGATGTAATGGCCGCTGGTACATTCGTTCATTTATGCTCCTCACACCGCTTGTGTCTCACTTCATCGCAGGCCCTCCATTCTCCTGTGTCTGTCACGATTATTCTGTGCCTGGATGTCCTTTGACATCTACTACTGTTCACACGCATGCACCCACTGCCCTTGCACCTTCGCTCAATATCCTTCGTGATATATTTACTGCGCATTATTGTGCTCATTCGCGTATTTCTGTATTTCATTCTGATTTACCTACAATTAGAACTGCTCTCGCCTTTCATACAATACCTCACCATTACATGAATCTCCTTCAATGTCGTCAAGCTTTAGTTCATCATCTTGTTGCTGGTGCTTGTATTGCACATAAATCTGATGTCGCGGCTGCATCAGGAAAAGCCTCCCATGGCAATTTCCCAACATTGCCTCCAAGTTGCCCCAAATTGGACAAAATATCCTTGATTAGACCGATTTCCTTGCTAGTAACGTTGCTATCTAGTTGCCTCCAAATTGGAGGCAAATTACCGTGGATTAATTTGTATTTGCAGCAGATTTCCCATTGATTTTCTGCTGAAATACACTCGAAAGAACCCGAAAACAACATGTATTGCACAGCGCTCTAAATATTACATGGTCTAAACGAGACAAGCCATAACCACCAAATCTTGATGAACTTGAAACCAAGCATGTCGCACTGTTGATGCAGCAGCGAGTCAGATTCATCTCAAGATAAAACAATCGTCTCACCCGTGGCGGCCAGGGCAACGGCTCACTGTTCTCGAGCTTATTGTGTCGCACTGTGAATACAGCATTCCTAGGGCATGCCGTGCTGAGCAACAGATTAGAATAAGTATTGCCGAATGAAAAGCGACGGCCTACCTAAAGGCTGCGGGATATGTTAGATTTGCTGAAAAGACGCGGAATTGGTTGAGCATTGAAGGACATCAAACCTGAGAAAAATAATCAAAAATGAGGCGGACCTGGAAGGAAGTGCACATGCAAACCAGAGTAAACTTTGACATTGCGTGTGAGTGTGGCTAAGAAAGCCTACAAGGAACGGTCACGCCCGATCAATCTGTCAAAGTAAAAGACTCACCCGTAGGCAAGCGTAGTTTACACTGGGGGCAGCCACCAGTGTCAGGGAGAATAATAGATCTGGGAGGATGAGCAACGCCTAGTCAGATGGCAGTGGATTTACTCGTTGACCCGTGTCGAGGACGGAATGTGCCTGTTCAAATCAAGGAGATGATGAATGTGGTGCAATTGCATAATTGCATGAGAACGCACCAAAGCAAGGCAATGATAAAGCAAACGTCGCGCTCTGCGCGCCGATCACCGTGTGTTCGATGCCTTCGAGGTCGTCCACCTGGGACTAGTACTTGCCCTCCCAAGCACCGTTCTGCCCGAGCACGTCCACGATGGCGTGTGCATCGGCGTCCAAAACGACATAATGAATGTTGATATCGAAACAGATGAAGTTGGAAGCGACACCGACGGACCGAGTGAAGATGGATGTATTGTACCTTGCAGCCATGACGACCTGGATCTGCCACCCGGCGCACTTACCGAGGCAGAGCTCGAACGCGCGGTGCGCGACGACGCGGATCAGGCACAAAGCGCAAGGTTCATCCGCCGTAAGAAGAAGCGGTTTGGGATTGCGCAAGGCGGTGGAGAGATGTATTCGCCAGCTCTGTTGTTGCCCGAGCGCCCAGACAACGGTGCTTCGACTGCCGCTCCGATGTACCTTGGGGGGGTGAGCAAGGCGAGGGCACTGGTAGAATTGACTTGCATGAGAGATGGGTTGTGAACGAATGTGTAGCCTCGCGGCCGCAAGAGAGAGAGAGAGAAATGACTTTGAGGGGGAAAGATGAGGGCAAGAAGGAAGAGAGCTCGTTTGAACCATCAAAACAAACCACCTTGATCTGCGCACACGTGATGGTTTCATGGTTTGATCCGACGGAGTTCGCGCTCGGTTAGCTCGGCAAAGAACACCATCTCCACTCGCTGAGTCATTACTTACTCCGTGCGGCGGCGCCGTCCTGCAAACAAGCACGTAAGTGCTGCCGGAATTGATTTCCTGAAATACACAGATCAGTGCATTTAGCCATAACTTTTTTTTATTGCTCAGCGCTACAGATACTCGTCGGAGGTTGCCATTGGGTCTGCTGGGACGACTGGCAAGATCGGGAGCAAGGAGGAGCGTGGCTCAACCACTGGTGGGCTTACAGGGGCGATAAAAAGTCTCAGAGACTTTGGTTCTCTGATCTCTGTGGCTTTATCCTTCTACTGTAGGCTGCATTTTCAACAGACGATACGGAGCGTCTTATTGTTTCCAAATGACGATCAAAGGCACGTTCCTGGCAGGTGAAATTTTCAACATTGACTTATACAGATATTTCTGCGATGACAAGGATACTAAACCAACCAAGGAAATAGAGGATATTTCCCTCGATTTCCTCCAATTTGCCTAGTTTGGAAAGCAGGAAGGAAATTGCCCCAAATTGGAGGTAA